TCCATAGTTCACCGCTTAAAGATTTCAATGTCACCCATTATATTGTTCAACGTAACAAGGCACTTCTCACATATAGTCACAAATGTGAGGCTACACCAATCTTAGTACAAGGCCATTCTTTCACTATTGATTTCTTTGTTGTAGACATGGATGGCATTGATATGATCTTGGGAGTTCAGTGGTTACAAAATCTTAGTCTCATTCTCACTGATTATAAAACTCAGACCATGGCGTTTAACTGACAGAATAGACAAATCAAGTTGCCGGGCTATCTCTCCACTTCATGGAGCAAATTTCTCCTCTTCAACTTCACTGTATAATTGCCCAAGATAGTATCGCCACCTTGTTCCACATTGACATGTCTACCCCAGTGCAGACAACTACTCCAGAACCTATCACTCACATTCTAGATCATTTTGGACAAGTCTTCCACAAACTTATTATCTTCCACCACCTTGCCACGTTAATCATCGCATCCATCTATTACCAAACATTGCACCTACTAATGTTCGTTCATCTCATTACCTACACTTCTAAAAACAAGAGATTGAAAGGTTGGTCCAAGAAATGCCCAATGCAGGGATTATACTCAACAGTCAAAGCCCATTCTCGTCGTTGGTGCTCCTCATTAAAAAGATGGAACTTAGCATTTTTGCATAAACAATTATGCCTTGAATTCAGCCACAGTAAAAGATAATTTTTTGATTTGCATCATTGATGAGCTTCTGAATGAGTTACATGGTACATGTATTTTTTCCAAGTTTGATCTTCGCGCAAGCTATCACCAAGTTCTCATGCATCCTGACATTGTTAGCAAAACTGCTTTTCATACACCGCATGACCACTATGAGTTTCTGGTTATGCCATTTGGCCTATCCAATGCTCCAGCAACATTTCAAGCTTTGATGAACTCAGTGTTCAAAGATTTTCTTAGCAAATTTGTCACTATATTTTTTTACGACATTCTCATTTATAGCCCATCTGTGGAATCTCACTTGGAGCACTTATCACGATTCCTCCAAAGAATGCATGACCATCAACTATTTTCCAAGAAAAGCAAGTGTATTTTCGATCAATCTTCAGTTGAGTACCTTGGTCACGTTGTTACTACTACAGAAGTATGCACAGATGCCGCTAAACTACGAGCTATTATTGATTGGCCAAAACCAACAAACTTCAAACAGTTACGTGGGTTTCTCAGCCTCACAGGATATTACAAGTACTTTGTTCGTTGATACACTGATATAGCACAACTCTTAATTTTTTTGTTGACACAAACAACATTTCAATGGCTTCTAGAATCTCAGTGTGCTTTTGATTGCTCAAAACCACCGTGACCTCGGCAACAGTTTTGGCCCTTCTAAATTTCTCCATACCATTTCAAGTTGAAACTGATGCCTTTGGAATTGCCATCAGTGCTCTTTTAATATGGGCACTCGATTGCCTTCTTTAGTAAGGCCTTTTTAACAAAGCTTCTTCGAGCTTCGACACAAGTTCGTGAGCTTTATACTGTTACTTAAGTTGTTTTAAAGTTGCGTCACTATCTCTTGGAAACTCGTTTTACTATTCTCATTGGTCATCATAGCTTGAAAGAACTAATGAGTCAAGTTGTCAAAACCACGGAGCAACATCACTACCTCAGCAAGCTTTTAGGATTCACATATGATATCATTTATCATAGTGACAATTCTAACGTGATAGCTGACGCATTATCACGTAAACATGAGAATGAATCACAGTCTCCTGTGAGTATAGCGGCAACATCTTCCCTTGATTGCCACTTAACCAAGGCTGTACAATCTAAAGCTCAAAATGACCTAGAGTTGTGATATATTCTTGACAATCTCCATAAAGGGAACCACTTCCTGGCTACTTTATAAAGAATGACACGCTTCTCTTTAAAGATTGCATAGTATTGGTAGCCTACTCTAAGTACAAGCAAAGACTCATGGAAAAAAATACATTGCACTCTGATGGATGGGCATACAGGTTTCCTTCCAACTTACAAACATTTGGCTACTACATAACCTGTCAGCAAACCAAGTATTCCATCGAAAAACAAGCAGGCCTACTACAACCTATCCCAATTCCAACATTTATATGGACAGTGGTTACAATGGATTTCATTACCGAGCTACCAAGTTCAAAAAGATCTACAGTAATATTAAGTACTGTTGATAAGCTATCTAAATCTGCATATTCCAGTGCCTTACCCACCTGTTTTATTGCACATTCTGTTGCTAAGCTATTCACTAGCATGATGTGTTTGAACAAGTATGAATTTTCTGTAATATTTTCACACTAGTATGATATTGTCCACTTTGCACCTAAGCTTTCATAGTTTTATTTTTGGACATCATCCAAAAGGTCTCATACTAATAGAGATCTACCATACTTATACCCTTGATCCTCCCCAATTCTAGTCAATGGGAGACTTTGTCCGCACATCCTAATAATCTCCCCCTCGAACAAAGTCCTTTAACACCAAAACCCACCCTGGAGGGGACCTTGCCCTCTCCTAGCTCTCGAGGCACCCTCGCTTTCTCCTGAAGGTCCACCTATATTGGACACTCCCTATGATTCGTAGCCATCACTGCACACCTGGGGTTTACTATGCGCACCTATATCTATGTCCACGTGGCACTACCTGAGGATTCGGGCTCTGATACCACTTGTTAGAAATTTTCCTTTGGAGCCATATGAAATTTCAAATAAAACTCAAGAACTATTATGTCAGATTATCAAATACAGATAGGAGGTTTTATGACTACCTGGATCCATTGACGTTGACTGGAGGTTACAGCGGAATAGCTTTTTAGTGCAATGATCTTCGAGGTTGCAACGGAACAACTTTTTGGTGCAATGATTTTCCTTAGCCAAAATCATCAGATTCATTAATAGAACTTAATATTTCTCTTGTAATAGAGAGATAGAGAGATAGAGAGATGTTTCTTATTTTGGCATATTGGGAACCATGACCAACTTTGTGATTTTAAACCTATTAGAGTTCCCATTAATCCCTAACAGGCCAAATCTAGTCTTCACTTGTTGAGCCCATATTCCTTTATGCATATTAATTATTTTTAATTAGTAGTTTAAATGATCACCAAAATTAGACCACTTTTATTGAGCCTAACAAAATGTAAATAGCTAATATAAATGTTATAAATAGTATGTATTGCCCATATTAACTATTAGAAATAAAATTTCTAACAATCTCCCACTTGGGCTTCATATTCATTTAAGCATTTATATCACAAAATTCTTTAGGCACGCAACTGTACGCTATTCGCTTTTAGACTTTTCTTAAATAATCTGGTTCATCTCATATAACAATAGGAAAACATTGCAGCTTTTATCATAACCTAATGTGACTAAACCATAATGATCACCACAATTGTATGCACTCAATGATATAGATCAAAATGGATAAGTGGTATGGAAGTTACATCCAATGTGATCTTAGTCATGTCTATTTCCAACTGGTCCAAACTTTATTTTTTATAGAGATCAATCCAAAATGCAATATAATTATTGCAAAAAATAAGTAGAGTAGAATGACAAACACCAACTTTATTCTTTAGAAGATGCGAATGAAAAATAAAACATCCAGTGTATATGGGACGCCTCAAAACAAGCGATGAACTCTGCAGCCATGGTTAAAGAAGCTATAATAGTCTATTTAATAGACTTCCAAGAGATAGCTCCTTCAACCAACATAAAGATGTTTCCAGATATGGAATGTTTGCTATCTTGGCATTTAGCAAAATTAGAATCAGAGTATCCAATGATCTCTAAACTGTCAAACTTTTGATAAGTAAGCATATACCATTTTGTTCTTTTCAAATAGCGCATTACACACTTTACTGCTTTCCAATACTACATCCCAGAATTGCTTAAGTATCTGCCCAAAATTCTCACTATAAATGATATATCAAGTCGAGTACAAACTTGAACGTACATTAGACTTTCCACAACTGAAGCACAGGGAATATTTTGCATCTCATTTCTTTCAAGGTCATTATTAGGACACTGTTTGAGACTAAATTTGTCTCCCTTGGCTATAAAGGTATCTCCTGATTTACTATCTTTCATGTTGAATCTATCTAAAACTTTTTCGATATAGTTCTCTTATGATAACGTTAGGATAAGTATGACTATCAATTCGTAATTGTCTTATGCAAACAATTTATAAATAAGAGTATTAAGTCAGCATAGAGAATATATAGGAATATTGAATGAAGACCAAGAAAAGAAACTGCTCTTTATCTGTATTTTCTTATTTTATTCATAAGGTTTATATTGGCAATAAACAAAAATGTTATCATAATTTTATTAATCATTTAAAAGTTTCTTTATTTTCATCTGTCTTCTATAATTATCACTATAATAATATTTTAAATCTTTATAAAATTACCAACAAATTGAACTTTTGAATGATTAGTTTATTAATAAAATATTTTAAAATATTAATATGGTGATAATATAATTTTTTTTTAAAAATATTTTGTTAATTAATATTTTTGAATAACTAATACCAATCTTCTCTTTTAAAATTACAGTAACCCTTTGTTTTATATTTAAAATTAAAGAAGAGTAAAAAAAAAAAAACTTTCCAACTTGCAACTTCTAAAAATTGTAGGTTAGATAGTTGATCATATAGATCAAACCCGTTTTCTCACATGTAATGAGCAGAAGAAAAATACAGTACAAAAAAATTTAAACCTCAGATATTAATTGAAAAAAAATTAAGTTTTAGTTATTTTAAATAAATAATTTTTATTTTAATTCTTTCTTTTTTTAATATATTTTTATTTTTTACCTCTAATAATGGTGTAGTATGTTGAGATATTGTCGCGTGTGAAATTTTATTTTTAACTATATTAATGTTAAGGAAAAAATTAAAATAAAAATAAAAAAATATTTGAAAAGACATATATATATATATATATATATATATTTAAGAAAAGAAAGAAAAAACTTGTAAATTTTTGGGCGCAGGAAAAACCTGGTTCCCTTTAACAACAATAAAAACTAAAACCTAGAACCCTGCATTTAAAAGGAGGGATTGTGCTTTTCTCTTTACAGATAGCCGCCGCAGAACCCTAGCGAGTGCCGTCGAACGCTCCGTGACAATGGTTGGTTTCAGATCCATTCTTATTCTCCTTCGCTCCTATTCACAGGTTTTCTTCTTCTCAGTTTTCGATCTTCTTCGCAGACATTCAAGCGTAGGAATGGAGGCCGCAACAAACACGGCCGTGGCCACGTCAAATTCATTCGATGCTCCAATTGCGGCAAATGCTGCCCTAAGGTTTTTCACTTTCTTCCGCCTTCAAATTTTTGCGTTGCATGTCAATTAAGTCTTTGTATCTGTGAAAATAAAATGAACAGGACAAGGCAATCAAGCGATTTTTGGTGAGGAACATTGTTGAACAGGCTGCAGTTAGAGATGTTCAGGAGGCCTGTGTCTATGATCGTAATGTTCTTCTTTATCTTCTATTTTCGTCAAAATATCGGATATCTTTTTGTTATTTGATTGATTTTTTAATTATTATTTTGTAGAATACACTCTTCCAAAGCTGTATGTGAAGATGCAGTACTGTGTTTCCTGTGCTATCCATTCTCATGTTGTTAGGGTTCGATCTCGCACTGATAGGAGGAAGCGTGAGCCTCCACAGCGTTTCATCAGGCGCAGGGTAACTTATATTTAATTGTTTTTGTTTTTTATTTCCTTTTTGTTTTTCGTCCAAATTATTTTAATTAGTGACGTGGATATATAATTTGAACACTAGCAAGAGCTTGATGTTTTGTTATAATAAGTGTAGTTGCTTCATGTCCCTTCAAATTTCGTATGGATAGCTATAATGTGTTGCAGAAATATGAGATTGGACCAGTCTAATAAAAATTGTGTTTGTTGCATTCTTGTTTTTGAGCTATATTATTGAGGACATGGTTTACACATTTGAAACTTGGTTATCTATTCATAATGTTATGCGATTTCAATTTTATGGTGTTTTATAGACCGTTTAAAAGATCAGTTCCTTTTCAGGGTTATTTTAGATTAAAGTCATTTGAGAATGGAAATGTGAAGGCTGCTATGGAGTAGGATGGCTGTCTTCCTTTTCCTATAGGCTAATGCCATGATTTGTGCCAAAACATGTGGAAATTTCATATTCCCAAGAGATTTCTTTTTTTGTTAAAGAAAATATATTGTTGCTTTTTTGAGTGTATAGAAGTAAATACATGTTTGGACATGGTTATTTTAAAGGAAATAATTACTTTTGTTCAAATACTCTGAGGAAGCTGGCAAAAACATCTATTATTTTTCAAGTCATTAAACTTGCAGTTTGCTTTAGGAGAATGATCTATATATTTTCATGAATTATTTGGTGGCTATGAAGTTGTTAGGAATGATTGATCAGTAGATTTTTATTTTAATTCTAAATTATGGCTTTATGCTCTGCTTGTGTTAGTATTTGACGTGTTTATTTGTTTCTCTTTTGAAGGATGATGCACCAAGGCCCGGTCAGCCTGGTCAAGCCCCTCGTCCTGCTGGAGTAGGAGCACCGGCCCGTGCTTAAATGAAAATTCTAAGTTTTTAGGTTTTGTTGGTTCGGTTTTATATTACAAACTGAGATTCCCTTTGCTGCTTATTTTCTAAATTTCAGTTTTTTGTAGGGAAATTATGTTCTCTTCTAATTGTCTGCTCAAGTCCTTGAACAACTATATTTTCGATTGTTATAATTTGTTGGTTTTGATGAGAATGCAACTTTGATACATTATAAATTTTAGCGTTTTGAAGTACTAAGTCGTATCAAACTCAGTTTATCCTCTCTGCACACCCCACCCTTCTGTAAAAAAATAAAAATTGTACGTCTTCCCAATTAAGTTCGTCTGTATGCGCTCGTTGTAATTGGTCGTTTAACATTATTCGATATTTATATCTTTTATATACTCCAGATGATAAAAAATACTAATTTGAGAATTATTAGTTAGGAAATGTATGCTTACTAGGGGTTAATGATTAAATGCATTTGCAATGTTTTATTGTATTAAATCTTTCATTATACACTTCGTGAATGTCAATGCGATTTAAACTAGTTTTACTGGACTTGTAATACTTAAGCGTAACAAGCCCAGGGTTGAATGTCCACTCTTAAAATTTGTTTTCCCCCAGTACACTTTTACAGGGATTAGAACACAGGAAAATTGATGTAGTCTATATTTCTCCTCTTATAATGACATCTGTCTTTGAGGTTAACTTTTGCTGAATTATATTTGAAATGAAAAATAAGAGCGTTATTAAATTTCAAAACCTTAACTGCAACAAAGCAAGTTTAAGGGAACAGAAACGCCATTTAATTTGAATATCAAAGTTATGAAATTGACAAATTTGTAATTGACGAATAAATTCACTTGCATAAACGTACACGTCGAAAAAAAAAAAGAATAAGGTTTTCTTAATTTATGTTTGCAACTGATTTAATACAAAATTATTGTCATAATTTCATGTTAAAAATCTTTTCTCGTACAGGAATGATAAAAATGTGTTTGCCTTTTACTATTCCTCAAATCCTTAAAGTTGGAGATGTGCTTCCTACCCTGATTGAATCTGCAGTCACAGCAGGGGACTTGGCATGTTCTACAGATAAAATTATGGTGGTCGAGCTTGTTATAAAATTATGTGTGTAATATATGTCAAAATTTGATAGTACTATCAATACATTTTCTCATCACCCTAGAGAAATTCTTCCTTGGTCACCACCATTGCCACCTTTGGAACTACTAGCACTGTATCTTAAGATAATGAAACACCAGAATCTTCTTTCTCATCTTTTGTTGACAAAGTTAGTTCTATCAGTAATTGCGAATTCTTGTAATTTCCAAAATCAATATTCAGTTGAGACGATGAGGAACTCTTGGCCTGCTCAGTTAACTGAACAGACTTCTGGGATTCTGACAGGATGGTCTTGCGAGTGCTTGAAAGAAGGCGGAAATCTTCATTTGACAGCTCAAATGACCTTGAGTTAACATGCACGTCTGATCTTGAATTACCATCCATGTCTGCGCTTGAAATACCATCCCTGTCTGTCACAGAATGAATCTCAGGTAACTGAGCAGAGTCAGCAGACTCTTGGGCTTCTGACAACATGGCTTTGCGAATGCTTGGAAGAAGAGGAAAATCTTCTTTTGAGAGCTCACAAGGCTTTGAATTCCCATACCTTGAAATTGGGTCCTAACATAATGTCATGAAACATTGCACTCTAATTATTTCAGCATCATATAAAACTTTAAATTCCTTACTGGTGTTCATCTATGAATATCTGTAACAATATTTGATCAAAGCCTCTGATGCATTATTCACTGGTAAGCCACATTGTAGTGAACTTTCAGATATTTTAAAATAATTATAAAGTATGAAAGCTCTCAAGCAATTAAAATACAAATAAAAAGTTCACTATAATCCATTGATGCATTAGTGGGCAGCATTACCTCAGCTGACACTACGGCCAAGGTTGTTCAAGAACTTAGTGTCATCTCAATACAATAACAAGGTATGTGCCTTCATGTTTTAGTTTTCAAAATATAAAAGCAGAGAATCAAATACCTTCTGCAGAGTTGCAACCATTAAGAATCCCAGAACGAAAATTGGCTGACATTGCAATATATTTCGTAACGAGATTGCCCAAAATACCTACTAGTCATTATGCTATATGAGTAGTTGTGGACAGATTGACAAAATCAGCTAGTTTTTTAGCTGTAAGTATCAAATATTCCTTGGAGACATTTACCTAATTGTACAGAAAAAAAATAGATAGATTGCATGGAGTGCCAAATACTAAAGTTTCAGATAGAGACTCAAGTTTTACTTCAAAATTTTGGAAAAGCTTACACACAACTTAGATTAAGTTTAGCCTACCACACTCAAATAGATGGATAGTCAGAGAGGGATTATAAGGACTTTAGAAGAGTTATTGACGGCTTGTGGTTTGGAAAGCCATGAAGCATGGGATCAATTTTTAATTTTAGCTGAATTTACTTATACCACTAACACTCGTTATAGTATTGCAACGAAATTTTTTGAAAGCCTATATGAAAGGTGATGTCAAATGCTATTGTGTTAGTCTAAAATTAGTAAAAATTTTATTGTTGAGAAAAAATGGTGTAATAGATGACTTTAAAACAAATAAAGACGATTCGAGACAAATTGAAGATTTATCAAAATCAAGATCAACAAAGAAATTATGAGAATATAAAGATTTCTCATATTTGTTGAGATCTTACTTAAGCAATATCAAGTCGCTTGCTCTTTGAACCAATCTCCGTTGATTAGAAGTTACTCCTTTAAGTATGATTTGTAAAGTTATTTAATTAAATAGCTTAACTATAATTTTTTTTGGGGCAACATAATGTTTCCATGTCTCATTTATAACTTCAAAAATATATTCATGACCCCTCACATATAATTGAGTTTAACATAGTACAACTAAATGAAAATCTCACTTATTAGGCATCGCCTATTAGGATCTTAGATACAAAAGTTAAGGAATTGAAAGAAAAAGAAATATCCTTAGTTAAGGTAGAATGAAGTTCAATGATAGGAGAATATGTCACATAAGAGTTGGAGAAGATCATAAATAAAGTTTATTCACATTTATTTGTGTGAACTGAGATAAATTTTGAAAATACAATTTATTTTAGGAGAGAAGAAATATATATATATATATATATATATATATATATATATATATCATGCGATACATACGCCTTATAGTTATTGAAATAATAGATTAATATTAACATATTTTATTTTTTTTATTTAAAATTATATTAAACTACTAATATAGATTACTAATTGTATTTTTTTAATAAATTGTATTTTAAATTTTTTTACTTGGCCTTAATAATATTTATTATATTTATTTTTCTAATTAAATATCAAAATGTGTTGAATTAATATCAATATGAACTAAATCTAATTTCTTTTATTTTTAGGAATCTATTAAATATTAGAAATTCATTAGTTACTATGAATTAGCCATTTGAATATCAAAGAGAAATTTTTTTAAGTGTATTTCATTTTTAAAATTATTTTGGGTATCTAAATTATTTTTAGAAATTATATTATTATTTTTTACTCAACTCTATAAAATTGTTATTAAAGAGTGCTTATTTTTATATATTTACAAAGTATATATATAATGTTAATTTTGATATATATAAATATTGAATCAAATAATTTTAAATTAATTCAAAATTTTACATATATTACCTATATGCTTTAATCTAACAGTTGAATTTATAATTAATTATCAATCAAAACAATTATTAAATAATATAAAAGTAAATATAATTTATGCTAATTTGATTTTTTTTGGTAAATTCATTAAACAATTATCAACCAAAATAATTAAATAATTATTAATTTTGGTAAATTTATTTTTAAATGAAAGATTTTTACTGAAAGTACAATAATTCTTTATTTTTTTTAAATAAAACTATAGCAATAAGGGTCGTTTGATGAAGAGTTATAAGTCTAATTTGATGATATTTTATTGAAAAGAAATAGAAGAACATAATAATGGTGGCTATGGTGAAGATGTTTTAATTTCTGTAAAAAAAAAAGGCCATAAATAAAGTAAATCTAGAGAAAAGTTATAGATAATTGTACATACTTATTTTTATAGAACTAAATGAGGGTGATAAAGCAGAATTTATTTAATGATGTCTTGTCTTCTACGCTCCTTCTCACTTATTTCTCTTCGATCTAACTTTAGTTCATCTTTCTCTAACTCCAAAACTAATATCTTTCTTAATGAACGGGAGAAACAAACTCCTAAAATAACACCTAAATACAATCTTTTTAACGAATAAGTTTGTTTTGAAGAGATAAATCAAAACATAGATGACTGGACTGTTCTAGAAATCACTTATGAATCAAAACTGGATGACTGGACTATTCCAGAAATATGTTTCTGAAGACAAAATCAAACAGAAAAATAATTTTGACTACATAATCAAAACTGTTAAGAACAACATCCCTTTAGGCCAAGACATAGGGGAATGATTCCATCTCTTATCGAGACAGCGATTGATGAACATATAAGAAGATACAAATACCTCCACATAGGGTGTGTTCAAGTTATCGTCAAACTTTTAATAGACATGGGGATAGAGGTCGCTATCTTAATGTGCCTTGGAGATATTAGGCACAATAAGTTTGAAGATTCCCTTATAAGTATTGTAGAAACTAGTCTGGGGTAAGGGCTAATCTACTTCAATTGTTAACCAAACAAAACCGTGAGACTTATGGATAGAAATATCTTAGACTCTTTATTTCTCAATATTCACTTTTATGGTTTAGACATGAAAGAAAGATCTATCCTCGCAGCATTAATCTACAGGATTCAGTACAAATTATGAACTCTTGTGCGTCTAGAGTCCTTCTCAAGCCTTAGAAAGGAGAAACCACCTTGTTTATAACTGATATGACTAGGACTAATGTTTCTCTTCCAAAAACTATAAAGTGGGATGAAGTTACTCTCCTAAGTGGGTTATGGATAAGGTTACGTCTTCTATTCCTCGATCTGCTCCTCAAATTCAAGATATTACTCAAGATAATTCTGAGAAAATTGAAATAACTTGTAATAGGGAGAATTTTTTCTCTTCTAGAATTGAGGCCTTTAGGCAGTCTGAATATGCTTCTGCTAGAAGATCTTTCTCTACTAGATCCCAAGCTATTTGATCTGAGATATCAAGATTTGTATCTCATGTCCTTTCCCATATAAACCTACAAGGTTTAGACACTTTTTCTAACATCCCTAGAACTACTTATCAACATGATAAGGATGAAGAAAACCAGAGTATCCAATCTCCAACCTATTCCTTTCTCAACGAGTCTTATGATATTGTCTCATAAATTTGTTATAAACAAGGAAACCCTTAGGAAAGAATTCTATTACGAGGATTGAAAACCTCAAAGAAAGTGATTTTTTCAAAATTACAAGGGTAGTAATAGAAAAGATATCCAAGAGAGATTTTATAAACT